GAATAAAACGTAAATTTTAAATATACATTTATATTATTAGAACTCATAATAGAACTTTTACTTTCTTTTACCAAATCGAAATCTTACTCAAGATTTTAAATGTTTATCAACAATTCTTATTACTTTGATAACAGTTAATTAAATAATCTAAGAATTTAAGTAAAGAAAACGTTAACTAAATTATAGAATATTATTTTAATTTAATTAATAGTCTCCAAGTTCAATATATACATATTTAAATATCTAAATAGAAATAATGCCTATAAAAATACCTCAAACAATTTTACTTATTCGAATAAAATTACTTCAAATAGAAATACCTTCAATCTATACAAAAAAATTTACAGACTTAAGTTGTCATTCCTCTCTCCACTTCAAACTTCAAAGTGAGGTTGAGCCTAAAAATCCCCCCTTTTTTGTTTTGTAATGACCACTCCTCCTGAATAAATAAAAAAAAAAACACACACACACAGGTCTCAAGGGTACAAGTTAATTTTTCCGAACACCAACACCAATAATGTACAAGTAAATAAGAAGATAGGATTGGTTGATTTATTCACATTACCAAGTCATGGTAACTGGGTGTTGTGACCACTGAGAGAGAGAAAATTCACCTCAGCAGTCACCAAATACCAATTAAAGTGGCTTGCCATGAAGTGAACCTAGTGTTTTTTATGGCCTTTCTAACTTTAAGATGCTCAGTCCTTCTTGTCGTTTTCCGTGACTCTACTTTTCATGATTTAGTATTCAGTAAGTAAGAAAGAGAGTGAACAGTTCCCAAGCACGTGTGTGCTTTCATTGTTCATCTCCACATCATCTAACCATCCTCCTTGCAAGATTCTTTTACAATGAAATCATACCATTTTTTATGTTACTCGTTCTTTTCTCTTTCACTGTGCTGCTTTATTATGCAACATACCCGGACCCACTACCCGGCACACGTGTTGTAATATGAGAGGAAGGGGAGTGTTGGTTAATGGTTAGGACTTAATAAACACTTGCTAATTTCATCTTAGCATGATTTTTTATTCCATTTTTCTTTATTTCTACGATCATGAATTAGTGAGTGTAGGGAGCTTGATCCAAGAACCACGATCATGCATTGCACATGCACGCGGTCAATTGATGGAGCTATGAAACGAGTGAAGTAGCTACAAGCCTACCTATTCTAAGCTGCCAATAAAGGACCTATCTTGCGTCTGCCCAGTCTAATGCAGGAAATTGTGTACGTACTGTATGTACTAATGTTTTTAGGACAATGAATATTTTATGATCAATCCCGTATATTTTTATCTTGAACCACAATTGTGTACTTGTTCATTCGATCGATAAGCTACGACCATTGACCAAGGCACAAAACACAAAATTAAGAATCAAGGGTGCACACACACACAAAAGTTTGGAATATATGGCCACTGCACTCATATGATGAGAAAATCGCAAATGCACACTGCACCGTTGTTGTCAATAGGTACTACGTGTTTACTTTTATAATAATTATTATTATTATTCAGTTAAACAAACAATATTTAAAAATACTTCAAGGTTAAGTTAAAGGTTACTCCCTGAGATCGATTGTGAGTCAAATTTCAAAGTAAAAAAATAAGAGTAATAATCAAATTCAGATAAATTTTCAAGATTGAGAGTTTGTTCAATGAATTTCTATATATTTAAGTCTTTTATTTATTTATTTATTTATTTTATCTATTCTCGTTGAAGGTAAATTAATTTAAAATATCTTTTTTTTTTCTTAAGATACATGAAGGTAAATTAATTTAATAATTTTATCTCTAATGTGAAATCTCTAATCGTATTTGATGTTTAATCATTAGTTTGATAAAAAAAAATTGGTTTAATGACTTTTAGAGTGTTTGACCGTCTAACTCTAATCATTTTAATTAGAAATAACTAATTTAATGAGTATTCAATTTAAACTAATTGTAGCTTGATTGATTGATTTTGGGATGAAACTTTATGCAATATTATAAGTGTAGTCAATGTATAGTTATCTAATCAAAATTAAAATTTCACTTTATTAAATATTAACACATATTATTTATATAAAATTTTAAATATTAACGAAGAATAACATCAATAATATTATAATACTGTAACTAAATTGTGTCTTTAATATTGATGCCAAATTTACTTTTTTTTTCTGAATTAATTTTCCCTTATAATTTGTTATTTATTTTTTTGAACTCATCCCCTTTTCCCCTTATAAATATAAATATTATTGGGAGACTACTAAATCATTCACTTTATACAGTAAGTTTTACCCATTATTTTTTTCATCTATGATTAACTTAATAATGATGGATAATCTTATCTCTTAAATATGTGGTCAAAATTTTAACTCCTGATTAGTGTGTTTGAAAAAGAAATCAACTCTTTAAATAAATATCCATATTTCAAAAAATTAGTTTTTAACTTTTGACTAAAAAATAATTCAATTTAAAAATATAAAAAAACATAATAATTAAAAGATTCACTGAGTTTTATAAAATGACTCAAAGCCATTAAGTGCAGGCTTAGGTCCCAACTCCTTAACAAAAACAAAAACAAAAACAAAAACGACCTGAGCTATACTCTAAATATGCATAAACACCACTCCACATTCAAATAAAGACAACAAGTTCCCAATATATCATAATAAAAGGTGGTTAATGTAGATTTTCAGTTACTAAGTTGCCCATATTATCATCATCCACTTATATACACACTGTCTGACAAAATCATAGATGAGTTGTGTATGATTTTAAATGTCAAATCCACCATGATTTAAAGAGTAGTGATTTTTTTTTTTCACTGATGAATCAAGTTATAATTTACAAAATTTAATGCTACGCAATCTTTTAATTATGAGTCTGACATAGAATATTTCCTCTCTATTTTTCAAGATACAGGGTATCAATTTACCCCCGCATGCCTCATTTGCGCCTATTACTGGATGGGTAAAAAATAAATCCTTCCAACGGATTATAAAATAGGCCCATAGCTTCTTTACAAGCCATCAATTAATTGTTTCAGTTGTCAACATATAATTTATTTGCATAATTGAAGTTAACAATGTAAAATTTCAAATAATTTTTTAAATTAAATTGCATTGAAAATTTAATTCATTAAAATATTATAGACTAATTATTATTAAAAATAAGTCTTTTCTTTATGGCGAGGTAAGCACTATTTTGTCCTTAAAAAAAGGAAAGTACTTTTTTTTTCTTGGCGAAGTGAAAAACTTAAATAAATGTCTTTATTTTTACATAACATTTAAGTAGACTAAAAATAGTATTTTTTTTTGTTTGTCAAAAAATTATAATAGTTAATCATGATATTTGAAACATACAAGTTATGGATGGATTTGTGCCATGCATATACATAATGTTAGTTTTTTTTTTTTTTTTAATTTTTTTTTAATTTTATTATTATTTAGGTTCAACCTAGATATCTTACGCAGTACGTTATTTATAGTTGAGCTATTTTAATAATTATTTGCAAGTTTAATAAAATCTATCATTTATATATTTTCATGAAAGGCAGATAGTTAGGGCCGTTTTAAAATTATGAATTTTTAAATAATTTAATTAAACTTCTGTTCAAGGATAATTGTATACATCAATAATATTAACGTGGTATTTGGCATTAGAATTTTTTATATTAATTTCTTAAGATAATGATTAACAAAACCGTAATAAAAAATACTCCCACATTATATCGATCTTAAACAAACATAAACGTGCTGGACATTTACCCGACAGATAGGGTAAATAGCGGGAAATAAATCCTAATATATTGCGTTAGCGACCATTTCAACAATTTAAAAAGAAAAAAAATATTTTTTTGCCGTCATCATCTTGTATATAATATTACTATAATTTGTTAATTATTTTGGTGCTATCATTTTCTCTAACGTCTATGTGAGGTTTCCTATGCTCCCAAGTACCCAAAAATTCTGGCAGGGGGAATTATGAAATGCGATATTATTTTAAACCAATTTGTATTGTTTCGTGGGCACTTCCTTTGGTTTAGTTATGAATACACGTGAACATCAAAGGATGCCACTCAAGTAATCTTGGTGTTTAATAATTAATATAGCAATTTATTATAATTTATTCCAAATGCTACAGATTTATCTGTCAGAAATATAATTTTGTTTTTGGTATTTAAGTCTCGAATTAAATATTTGGCGGAAAGTAGAATATTTAATTCCTATCTTGAGTCGTAACTCATAAGTGACTTATGGACAAAAGACTCAAAAAGTGGGAGAAGGTCGAAATAACTTGCTATTTGTTAAGGACAAAGAGCAAAACCAAACCCTTTAATTCCATTTCTAAAAGTTTGTGTTTTTTTTGAGGATATAAAATATTTTGAGTTTAATTTTTATATATTATCATTTAATTTTATATTTTCAATAAATTAAAACTATTTTAAACATGTTTTTTTTTAAGTAATTATAGTAAAAAATTAACAATCACTAACAAAGTTAAACATAGTTGATAAATAACTAGTTTTTTTATAAATACATTGACAAATGATATTATATATGATAATATTTGACAATCTTATTATACATTATAGTATTTAATTAGGTAATATTATATGCTGTCAATATATTACAGTTAAATTAAAATATTATGTTATAATTTTTAAAAAATCATTAATGCTAGTTATATAACCTTTATAACTATTCGATATATTAGTCATTGGGAAGGACTAAACTAAAGTCCTTACGGACTTGGAATATATTTTTATACTTTTAGAAGCCTTTTTGCTTCTTATTGGTCCAAGTCTTTCTGCTTTTGTCATCATAATAGTGTATAATGGGCCGAAAGAAAACTGTTGAGAAGAACTAACTATACAAGCTGGGCCTGAACAAAACGAAACCCAAGGCAATCATGGGTAAAAAGGTAAAATGCTAGTGTTAAACTAACTAGTTTCCTTTTCCACCCTTATATATATTTCGTAAATTCAAAAAGAGGCAAAGCGCGCGTATTGTTCGTCATTTCGCTCCGAAGCATCGATGGCCACCACAGAGTCAATACCTCCAGAAGCAGAACCCGAAAGTCACCTTTCTTCTCTCATCTATGGTGAGCCATTACCGTTCCTTCCATCTTCCATAGTAATAATTCATCCGCAATTCCGCATTCATGAAACTTAAGATTTAACAATCTTTGCAAATGCAATTTATTAAATTTAAACCTAATTGTTTATTCAAATCACACGTGACGCGATGCGATCTTCCACTTGTAATGGACTAAAATGATTGCGTGTCTGTAATGTAATCTAATTTAAGTAACGCATGGTTCGATTGATTATCGAATTTCCTCATCGCGTGTTTGCTTTGAATTCTGATTGTTCTGCTAAACCGTGCAGACTTATCAAATGAAGTCCAAGAGATCATGGAGAACATGTTTAAGGCGATCACGTACTACCTAATCATCCTTATTTATCAATATCAATATATTTTCCATTTGTTTTCGGAGCAGTTAATGTTTATTTGTTATGCTTTGAGGTCAAAACTAGTAATGATTGTTTGATCCGTAATTGAAACGGTTATTTGCATCTCTTTTACAGTGAAATCAATCAAAACTCTTCAGTGATAGAGGAGGAGATGGAGAAATGTAAAGGTTCTGCTCTTGAGAGGAAAAGAGCCTTAGATGAAGAGAGGGATAACTTTCAAAAAGCTGCTTATGCTGTTCTTGACATGCTCAACAGAGAGTAAAACGCTCCACGGTATTATTCTACATATTTCATTTCTATATATTGCATTCATATAAATCTTGTTTGGTTAAGAAGATTGTCACCTGAAACGGTCACGTATAAAAAAGAGATGCATCTAGTTAATCTTTGTTTGATTTGATCATTATATGATATATAACTCGTCATTCTCCCTTATCGCGATTAGTTCTTCTACTTCTGAGCCGTCAGCCATGAGAATTTTGCTTCTTCTTTTTCCAAATTTGTTCTCTGCGAACAAAAACCAAACATCCAATCAACTTAGTTATCCTATTGAATTTGTTGTTACCTTTATGTATTCAATTCTATGAATACAAAAGCGAAATCATAATAATGTTATTGTCCAATAGATTTCTATTTGAATATAAAGGCTTTAATTAATAAGCCCTGTGCGTGAAATGAAGGCAAAGAAGGGATTTTAGATTATACTGTGATTATGTTATTTTCTGTTGCCGATGTCACTCAATCATGAAACCACTGAGAATCTTTTGGAGGCATGCATGCATGTTGAATGTAGTCAGTCATACCTGCAATTCTCAAAAGATCTTCTGCCGAATTTGGGAGAAGTATGAGCTTCTGTGTTGTTTCGTTTCCCGTTTTGTTTTCATTGGGATGATGTCCGTGGATTTTAACTCTAATGGAGACTGAGCTTGAAAGTGGACTGAAATCTCTTGTTCTTCCTGCAATGAGTATCATGAGCATTGAGCCTATGCGGCTAATTTAGTTAAGCAGGTAGATAATGTCATTAATCTTATAAAATATCTGTGAAAAAAATTCACGAATTCCTTAGCATTAGCAATTTTGGACACGTGATCAAACAATGCAACCGAAGAAAGCAACCTGGGCAAGCTTTCTGTATTAAAAGGTTCCTGTCATATAGAGTTCGAGTTGTTTGTCAAACTGAATTAATATTGTAACCGTGTTGGTTTATTCGTTACGAGATCTATCTGGTTAATTTTTTGGTAAGATAAAATACAATTTATGCAAGACCAGAACTAATCACTAACTTATCTAGTTTGTTAGAAGGAGGAATGTTGTTTTCATTCATGACCCAAGACTAGTTATTAAGAAGGAGAGATGAGAATAGAACAAACCTTAAATAAGATTTATGGTCTAACTTTTTTAATGTCTGATTTAATCTATTTAATAAAAATGTTAAGTTTAAACTTTTAAAAAAGTCTATTTATATAAAAGATTTATAAAAAAGTCGGCTAAACTTGATAGTTTATTTATTAATATAATATAATAATAAAATAATATATATTATTAAAGATATAAATAAATAAATAAATTTATAAAAAAATTATTAATATTTAAAATATTTTTTTATACAATTATTTTTTTATTATAGGTTTATAAATTTACGATTTGTATATGAATGTACATTTATATGATTACACATGAATTATTTTTTCAATAAAAAATAATTCAATTTTTCTTTTATATTTCTTTTAAAATTTAATTTTTAATAAAATTAAGTAAATTATATTTTAAAAATAATTTTATTAATTTTTAAAAATTAATTTTATTCATCTAATTAATATTAATAATTTAAATAGGCTAATACATCAAGTTAGAACAAGCTTATAAACTAGATTTAGTCTTTAATTTTACAAAACAGACCTACTCTATATATGTAAAGTCTGACCTATTCTCGTGCCTACCAATAGGATAGGTACAATCTTGCTTAGTGCGTGATACTTAACAAAAATTTATACCGCTTATGCTTTAATACATGACATAGAATTAAGGTTACCTTCATTATACGGATTTTCTTGATATCTTGAACCTTCGTAGTGTGTACCCTCAATTTGGGTTAGATGCTGCAAAAAATCTGAGTTCGTCATATATTAAGCAATTCATATATATATATATATATATATATATATAAAAGGAGGGTTCAAACAATATCGATGTAATTTTTACTAAGTGTTATACCGCTCAATAACTTTATATTAAATGTGAATTTTGAAAATCTAACCGTTAGATTGAAAGTTCATATCTCTTAGATCATATATGTCAAATTTTGTTAAAATTGAACAACTTGAAGGTAATTAAAGTGTTCATATTTTAGTATATTTTAAAATGTATATATTACGTCAATTTTATTTTATGAGAATGAAGTATCAAATCATCTTAGATTAATATAAAATTTGATATATATGATCTAAGAGATATGAACTTTCAATCTAACGGTTAGATTTTCAAAAAGTCAAATTTAATATAAAATTATTGATCCTCTCTCTATATATATATATACATAAGGAATGCTAGTCCCAGATACACACATCCTTTACTGTTTAGATAGACCTATACAAAATTCACTCGGTAATAAATAATGTGATGGACAGGGTATTTTAAAAAATGTTACTAGTATTTCTCATGTGTTCATGTGTGGCCAAAATTATAATAGATTTATTTGTCTGTGCCATAAAATCTATTTTCTGGAGCGTAAACTAGATAATTAGTTATTCTTTATTTAGTTATTTGCTGATCTTTGTATGTGATATAACACAGTTCTTGTGCTTTCACCTTACAACACAAGCTTTTGCAGGAGTTATCGAGTTAATTGACTTAGTTCATGAATCATGACATAATATAATCGAATCATCTAATTATGTTAACATTTATCTCCACGGTACATGCGTTCAATTTGAAGAAAACGATTATCTATTCAGGTAACCTTAAGGTCCTGTTTGGGAAAAAGACAGGGAGGGTATTCGAGGGTAAATTTTTTTTTTTTTTTTTTTGTAGGTTTTGCTTCTGTGGTCCTTAATCCACTTTCCCCTTTCTCATATACATGGTTTAAAGTGGGTCATTGGGGTAGGGGTAATATACTTTAAGATGTTTGAATCATGTTGCTATCTTTTATAATTATGATAGATAAAAAAAAAGCGGATCAATCTTTCCGGCTGAATTCTGTACTTGTGGCAGTTATCATTTTCTCATACCCCCAACCCAATGACATTTAAGGATTTCTGTGCATCCTTTATTAGGTTAAATTACTCGCAAATTTTTTAAATTGGATCTCTAAACTTTAAAAAAATAGGTCTTGATGTTAATTTCTGGTGGCTTGAAACTGCTGGAAAAAAGATAATTTTTTGGCCGTTAAAAATTATAGGGACTCAATTAAGAAAAGTTTACGTGATCAAAATATCCAGTTAATTTGGCTTAGCTTAGGGACCTATATAAAAGTTTCTAAATAGTTTAGGGACATGTGTATAATTTAACCTTTTATTTTATTTTATTTTGCGCATTTATAAAACTTTATATTTCTCAGTACATCAGTCAGTAGTTTTAGTGGTTGATATTCGAAGGTAAAAGAAATACCTCATCATGCAGGTCACCCGTTAATTCTGTTACACAAGACATTTCGTCTGGCACTTTGCCTTTGAGGCCGTTCAAATACTGAGAATGGAAAAACCAACATTAGCTTAAAAATGTTTGGGCTTGTTGACATGGGAATTGAAATACCGATACAAGGTTTGGATAAAGGGAATTCACATAGGGTTGTAGAGTCATAATTTGTGGCTCGCAATGATATTTGGTCAAATTTGAAGTGTATAAATTAATTTTCAAACGACAATGTGTGTATGGCTTCCTCTTTGTCTATCTTTATGTATGAGTGAACTTTCAAACCTGAATAAGGTTGTAGATGATTGTATTCCCATCGTCACTAAATGGTTGCACCATCTGCTTGAAATGATGATGATTGATTCGTATGACCTGGGAGAGCTCCTTACTTCTCACTGTATAAGGTTGTGGAATATTAAACAGCACGCCTATTTCTCCCGCCATGCCTCCAGATTCAAGTTTGAACAAAAACTGAAAAAACTTTTATGAGCTCAATCTAGCAGAGTGAGAATTGTTTTTAGTTTAGAAACTTAGATACTTGTTTTAAATCATTATTGTCTCTTTCTCTTTATTAGTACTTTAAAATTTGTCTTGTTTCTATGCACACTAGAGTGTCTTATAATCTTATTTCCCATTTCAACCACCTGTTCCATTTATGTGTCTGATGAAGATGTTCTTTGGACTCTGTAAAGGGTTTAAACGTAGTTTTATGTGCTTGCTTCGGCAGGTTACCGGGAAGAGCTTGAAGATTGAAAAAGCTCTCCACTCTGTAAAGAAAACTTGATTTTCCAAAATGATTTCTACCTCAGGCTAGCACATTGGTTGTCAATGTCATGCATGCTTCAATTCTCTACAGTTCAGATGTTCTAACGTCTAATACTAAACACAAGGATTCCCTGATTTCAGATTCAAATTACAATTCTGGATCTTCAGTCCAAATGAGATTAATATTTGATCTTTATTTCCTCTTTAAACCATTTTCTCCCGCATGATACTTTGTAGTGGTTTATGCATTACTCTTTCCAAATCACTAGGTATCTAGGAGTTATTACCACTTAACTTTTTTTTAATATGTAACTTATACCCTGAAATTAATTGTTTGGGGGAATCCATCTTACCTGTTCGGACCCATTCTTGTAAATCAACACATCCTGTGGTTAGAATACTTCAATAAGTTAGCTTGTTAAGCCTTGTATAAAGGTAGGATTTGAATAACATATGGATGTTTACCAGTGATCCAGATACCAAAATGTAGAGATATGTTGGCATCTCATTTTGCAAGATAATGTCAACCTTAGATGGGTAGTATTCTGCTTTCATTTCTGACACCTGTTTAGGCTCATAAGCTCATTATTTGATTTTTAGTTACCGTTGAGATGCTTAGAATTTATTCAGTCGCCACCTAAAAGAGAAATAGAAAAGAAAATAAAAGAAAAGAAAAAGGCTTTACCAGATGGGTGATAAAATCATCAGAGACTCCTTTAAATAAATATGTTGTTTCAACTATATTTTGGAAAAGATGCCGAGCAATGCTGGATCTTATTGTTTTAGGTAGGTCTTGTAGCACTTCTTGCTGTAACTCTGCAGTCTTAAACTTCAATTGCATGTGTGCCAACATTTGCTCCTTTAAGCCTTCCGGGAGTCTATTTTTGTTTGCATATCGTAATATTTTGTTGAAGGCACTCCTCTGTGAAGCCAGGAGGGGAAACGTATTAGTTTTTGGTATAGCCACTCGGATTAGAGTTTTTAGGACCAGAAGTGCATCATTGAGGGTATATTTTCCAAATTCAGGAACTTTTCTATTAAATTCTTGACCAATTTTGGCTGGGTTAAGAGAGCAAGCTGTTTACAGTTTTCCTTAGTCCCATTTGATAACCTTGATAACATTGAAAATATAAAACTGGGAATGGGAGGAGGTAAATACTAAATATATCTAGAAGCATTTCTCATTTTTTTTATCAGCAAATGTTAATTGTTAGTTATGTTAGTGAGAAGATTCAAACTCACACCCTTCTTATCACTCCAACCTTATGTTCCTCCCCTCAAACCACCATACCAACCTTATAACTCCACATTTTTCATTTATTTGTTTTTCAACTTTCCCACCTTGCCACTACTATAACCAAACATGTCTTTAAGTTTCTACTTTCTAGTATAGTTGTAGCAAAGTTTTGGGGATTTCACAATTTTTCTCTTTTGCTAGAATAAAGTATTTGGTTCAAATAAAATTCAAAGAAGTAATCGCTTACTTTTCAAAATAAAATTCTAAGAGATTGGTAGAAATAATTCATTAATTCTTAAAAATAAGATAAACCAAACTTAAATTAGTTTTTTTTAGTACAAGCCATTTTGGCATGTGAGGAAAGCTGGCCTTAGATAATTCTCAATGGGAGAATGTCTGATGTCAACTAACTAAAGTATATAAATATTCCGTGCAATTATAGCTTAATGTCATTATGTGTTTTCTTCCTTAAACTTCTTGGAAACGTGTTTTTTTAATTATTATAATTCCCTTCCATAGGGCTCAAAAGTTTGTTCTGTTAGGTTGATATGCTATGCTAGTTACTAGTGTTATCCAATGTAATGCTAAGTTAAACGACCATGGAAATCCTCATAAAATTTACCATGTCAAGTGTTTGGACAGAGCTATGAACCAACAGAATTGTCATGTTTCCGATTATATATGCAGCGAGGCCGATGTTAAACAGCATGTATAAAATACTGAAAAGCTTCTCCGTTAAATTCACTGCATAAAAATCTCCATAGCCAACAGTGGTAAGGGTTGAAACAGACCAGTACATGGAATAAGTGTAACCCAACCCGATGCTCAAATCTTTGAAATCCTCTGTTTTGTTCCCTATCCATGTGTTTTTCGGTGTTTTGTGCTGGACAGCCAACCAAAAATACATGCAGCCTGCGAAGTGCACTGCAAATAGCGTAACCTGCATGAACAAACTTGCGTTAGCTAATTTGGTAATTACATCTTAATTGAATCTATACTCAAACACAAGATTTAGTAGTTTACTCACGCAAATAAGTTTGCAAAATCTTGCTGTCGAATAGTTAATTCGTATGTCTTTTTCTAGCCTGGAAAACAGCTTCCGTTTTCAGTAACAAATAGGAAAACCTGATCATAAAAGCCATTCCTTTTTATTTGCTTATTGATAATTAATTATTTAACAATGACATATGCACACTCTCATCTTCATTTCACATCATTTATTTTTTCCTTCTCTATGTTGATCATATTATATTATTTATTATATATATACTTTTTTTCCTAAGTATTAAATAATATGAGCTGTCAGTGCATAATTTTCTTAATAATTAATTTGGTAATTTTCAAGAGTGTAAATCAAGAAATAGGAAAGGGAAAAATATTTGTGAACAGCAGACGCTATATAAGTATTGATGTAATATATAATATAATATGATAGAAAGAAAAAGATAAAAATAATAGGTATTGAAAGAGTTTTATTATTTTTTTAATCCATTAGAATTGTAATAACGTTAATAAAAGTTTGAATTTAGGGTAGCTAATATTATTCTAATACTCGATCACTAAGTTTATCTTGGTAGTTTGTATTTATACTTTAAAAAGGTTAAATTAAACTTTAAAAAAGATTTTAATTTTTTTTATCAGAAAACGTATGATAGCTTAAGTTAGTAATAATAATAACTCGTCAAACATGAATACGACAATTTTAAGCTTTTTACATATTTCGTCTTAAATTATAATATAAATATCTTTCTCAAAATTTAAAAATTAAGTCGCACACTTTAGTGAACTGGTCTGAACCATGATTTGAGTAGTTAAGAGGGCTGGGGAGATGGAGCAGGAATTTCTTAAAAAAATAAAATAAAATGAACTGGTCTTGCCCCTATGGTATGTTCTCGATTTTGTAATTTACTATGTGTCTATATATCTTCGTAGTTTACACCCTTAACAAGGAAAAGGTATATTATTTGAGTGCGTAAGTGCGTTTGGATTTTCGTTAGTTGCTTGTTTCGTTCTGTTCTCACTCTTTTGTTTGTGAATGTACCTCGCGAAGAGTTCGCTAACACGCCTCAATCGCCAGAGTCTAAGCATAATTAGGAAACCAAAGACTTCGCTTTTGTTTGGTTTACCCGTCAGAATCTGGTGTATCTGCTCAAATGGCAGAGTGGAGGCCAGATCCATGGTGAAGTGTAACTTTTTGACGTACCTGTTGAGGTGCAAACGCAAAAACTTGGATAAAAACAAATGCAGTTCACTATAAATCAAGAGTAAGGACAGTAAAATAATAAAGATTTCCCGCGTGCATGCGTGAAGCACATGGCATATGCACCTGAGAGCAATCTTCTTATGGTCGTCAACGAGGAGATAAGTTGATGTATCTAAGTAAGCCACAAAGAAAGTAAGGATTATGTCAACCGCGAAAAAGGTATCGACAAGGAGATCAACGGGCAACAGCGACCCAACCAACAGTTCTCTGAAAGCTAGCTCGAATGGAGATGCCCATGCAGAGTACACTACCAATGCCACCAGGAACGTTTGCCACAATCTATATATGACAAATCCCAGTATATTAATGCATAAACAAATCAATTCAAATAACTAATTGTGTGAAGGAAATTAAATACATACTGATATCTACGGTCATAGGGAGCAATGACATATTTTCTTAGGTTCGAGTAACCTTCATCATCAATGATGGTGCCAAATGCAAAGAGGCTACTATAAACCGAGGTCAAGTTCCTTATTTCGCCACTTGAACGTCTTCTAACTAGAGATAGCACGGACATTCTTGATTCTCAGAGGTCTGACAAAATGGCTTCTTCAGAGAGAGAGAAAGATCATTACTTCTTGTTATCAACGTATTTGCGTATAGTAATTGCACTTGTGCACTAGGCAAGCCTTTGGCTTCTTAATCGAATAACATGTTAGTTTCTTGTTGAGTCTCCGTGGGCATTAAAATAATATTATATGGGGGAGGTGGCAGGAAGTTTTCAGACTCTTAATTATATAAAATATAAATTAATGACAATTACGGACAACGATGACTTTGTATGTAGAGGCAAAAGATGCAGGTGATCCAAGGATTTGTCAATATGCAGAACAGAACAAAAACCCTCTGCATGTTTGGTTTTCTATCGAAATAAATCAACTATAATTTGAGCAAAAACTAATCTTTTGTAATAATCATCCGTTATTTAAGAATGTTTATAAAACCAAACAGACCATGTTAACAGATTTTTATCCTCTAATAAAATAATGATTTTTTAATTCCATTATCTGAATAACTATATCTTGGACTATAATATATTGAAGAAAAAAATGGTGCTTACTTCTGCTCCATAACTATATGAAACAAAAATTTATACTTCATTTAATTTTGAATTATGAAATGTAAGATTAACAATTTTATTTAATGGGTGATTCAGCTCTTCCAATTTCCACGTAATTTGTTTCACGATTTAGTAACCAAACAACAAAGATAAAATCTAATTGAATCGACAGATCAGGCAAATGTGATCCACCTTTTGATTATATCGTTGATCTATATCCTATGATTTATCGAGTGACAGACACACTCATAAAATTAAATTAATGACATCTGTACAACAACTTAGATACAAACGCTCAAAATTCATGTACAAATATTATACTCTAAAACATCCACATAATGCTAAAAATTGTATGACTTCTCTTCTCCAATACTTCGCTGGCTCAAAAATGGCCAATTCCATTGAGTGCATAAGAACTTCATGTATCATCGTTGACATTCAGACGGTCCTAAATTCAGTGTTTGCATGAGATTCAAGGATAAAATTGCATCAATTTCTGCGCAGCCATGTGATGATTTATCTCCACCAATCTTCCAAACCTGGCAACGGTAGCAGTACCATACATGTGTTGGACAAACTTGGATGTTTGAATATATCTCAGGATCAAGAAACCCACTTCAACAAATCCAGGAACCGAGAAATCACTGAAACAAAATAGAGATCTCTTGGTTTTTACAACAAATACTTGATTCCCATTGCTTTGGTTCCGCTTCTCTTGAGAAATGGCTATGAACTAATTCAGCATTTTAGACATCTGGTGCATTAATAGACCAAAAGATGCACTTTGGACAATAAGATTCAGCTGCTAGCAATAAATCACATGTATTGAGCCAACCATTGCTTACACATATCAAGCACTGGAAGTGCATTTGCATGTAGTGCCTGCAAGAAGGATGATTAAGTTAAGCAAAATTGAACATATTATTAGCAAAAAGTACATGTCTACAAGCCATGAATGCGGTAGTGATAGTTAACGCTAGGTCAAGCTTTCGAATGAGAAAAAGAAAATCCATTTAATATACTAATTGTGTGGATAGCCAAAAGATAAAGATAAGAGAGTGAGAGAAAATAGAGGAGAGAAAAAGAGAATATTTCAAAAATAAGAATTATTTAATTATTTAAACAATATTTTCATGGATGGATCCAACCATAAAAAAACTGTTAATGGATGGTTTTTTTTTTAATGAATCATATGAATTGGATTTTTTAAAATGTATTCGAATGGATAGTTTGTTTTCCAATCCATTTGTGTGTCACCTCTAACAGGTGTAGTACAAGAGTAGTACAACTCATAGAGATCAAATAACATATAACGGTATAACCCACACCATATTTATCATTTTTGATGTAAAATGCAGACCACTTTTTTTTTTTTTCTGAGTTAAAAGGAATTCTATTCATTTTGTACAGATAAATAAGTTCGTCTTGAATTGCCCCCACCTCCCTCCAGAAAAAGGCTTTTAGATATTTATTAACCCAAACCTGGGTACCAGATTTGTTATCATTAGAAAGATAAACGATCCCCTAGTTTGAAGCAGTGCGTTTAGAATATATAGGGCTTTCAACTTAGCTACACACACACATATACACACACCAAATGTGGAGGCTAAAATTGATAGAAAGTTAACCTGATGAGCAACATATTGAACATCGGCCACACTTCCACTCCGTGAAGCAATTTGAAATGCACTTTTTAAACGACCACAAACTACACAAGCAAGAACCTTCCTGCATGCCCAAATCAAAAATAAAATAAACATGTTACAATGGTTTCTGAATAACTGCAAAGAAAAACCTGTGGAGGGCACATGGCATAAGGTATTGAGATGAGTATAGCTACATACTGATTGTCTAATACTCTTGAAAAATGGCAACAGATATAAGATATCCAAATATTTGTACCTAAACTTATGAATAATGATATATAAAAATAACAACAAAATTAAAAGTGCATGAAGAAAAATAGACAAAAGCCCTCACCTGTGGCTACTAGTTAACATGTCTATCAGACGGTCTGGGCGCTCTTTATGCTTATTGGCATATACATTTATTGCAGCACCTAAGACCTGCATCGTTCAAAACGTTGAAAATATTTTTTAAAAGATAAGTTCACTGTTACAACATATAGACTCCCCCCAACCCCCTATAACAGGACCAAGAATCACCAATAATAAACCATTAAACTCAAGTGGTTAGAAAAGGCACGTTTTAATTTCCTTACCTGTTTTGACAATATATGCCACAAGCTCTTTGAAGCTAGTTTATAGAGTCAAGTTTTACCATTAAAAAAAATAAATTAAAGCAATATAAAAACTAGTGGTGTAATGGACCATTGACACATTTACAGGGGAAGACAAACACAAAGATAGGCCTAACAGTAGAGAAGGGCTCTTGGTTAATGAGAGGATAAAAAAGAAGACGAAGATGGAAATAAGATGAAAGAAGTAATAATTAAATAATAAACATAAAAATTTACAAATTAAATTATACATTTGACTTAAAAATATAATTTAATTTGTAAATTTTTAATATTTATTAATTTAATATATTGTTTGAATTAAAATATAAGTAATAATTTAATATATAATTCATTTAAAAATGTACAAGTAAATTGAAATTGTAAAAAAAAAAAAGAATGACGGGTTTCCTGTGGGTTTTCCGGAATCCAATAACACCTGCCAAGTGCATGCCTACTTCTCAGTCAACTACAAACTAGCAGCAACATTCTTTTAAGATTTTTCCTCAAACTTCCAAGTGCATTCTCAATTTTGTGAAGTGTAACTGTCTCTATCATTAAGCTATTGGTTACAGTACATCTCATGCACACTGATTACTGTTACAACTAACATTGTCTTCCCATCTATTCTATAAAGCTTGTAGAGTCAAATACATTCTAATAGAGCTCTAGTCATTTAATTTTTGAGCCTCGTTACATCAAATTGAATATAAAGAAGAAAAAAACTATTTTCGAGTAGAAGAGAAAAAAAGAAAATTTTATTAGATTACCTGATCCCAGTCATCATCATCTATTGTGCCCTTGATGTTCCTAAAGAATTCAGTCAATTGGCTGCCTCTTTTTCTCTCAGCAAGAGATGCAGCAACACCAGCATATATATCAACAGCTGCATGATATAATTAAAAGACCTAGCTAAGTATGCTGACAACTCTTTGTGGAGCTAAAAAAAATATAAGACAACAAACCAGATTGTAAAGAGGAAAATCACTATTACCAGGAAGATTAAATTCATAGATCAATTGGAATGCCAAATCAAAATTCTTCTCAACAAGAATCTCTGCAATTTTACACCTTCGTCTGAAATTTTAAAAACATCACGAGCATTTTATTAATTGTCATCGGATAAAACTGTGAAATACTACGGACGTCATATAGAAAAATATTTGAATACATGAAAAATGGACAGTGGAGAAATCCAAATGACTTATCAAAACATTTGAATGCATGCAATATGAACAGCTAACATCCGCAGTCATTAAGAGAAATATAATGATAGTTGACCGTAAAATTATCACCCCCATGGTGGTCATGACTCATGAGTTTAACACTTGTCACCACCATTCTTCTAAATAATAAGTTAATTTCAGCACAAGGTAGGGTGGACCTATTGTCCACACTACAACTCCAAACAGTTCTTGTGAGGGGGCATGTTAAACATCAAAAGATATTATGTGTTTTCACCCAGATACTCAAGCTTTTAGGATAGTTGGTTCATAATACTCTGTTTGAAGTACCCAAAAAATGGTTCGAAAATTTCAGGAAACTTTATCTTTTGAAGCTGTAAAAAATTGTCCCAAAAAATTCTACTGTGAATTTTAAGTGGATATCAAACTAATTCCATGAAAGAAATGGATGGTCAAATTAAAAATTAAACAAACCTAAAAGTTTCTGGATCATTTGGATTCCCAAAAAGTGAGTGTTTCCACTGTGGTCCTTCTGAGTCATTAAAGGATTTAACAACTTCAACCTACAAAATACAACAAATCTGCATAAACTTAGGATTTCAAAAAAAAAAAAAAAAAAGAGCTCTTAATGAAAATATATGAAACAACAGAAAATATAAAAGTTAAAGAGGATTATTTGAGAAGTTCAAAACAAAGAAGCATACATTCCATGGAAATTTTTATTAGTGAGAGATGATGCCTTGTCAAATCAAAGCTTCCCAACAAAAATGTGAACACAACTAAGCAGTCACATGTATTTGCATGTTCTTTCAAAGGCATAATAATGTCCATCACCTTATAGTCAAAGGAAGTCTCTAATGTCATTATGTAGCAATACTGGCTTGCCACACTTGTTCTTAGAAATTAATTATTAAACCATTGATTTCAATATTGGTTTGGGTTTGGGTATATCCAATTACCTGGATTGATACCCGAGCAGAAAACTTAACGAGACCTTCTTCTGTAAGTTTTTCAGAGGCACTTTTTCCTCTAAGACC